AATGTAAGTTCTTTTCACTCATCTCGGCATTACAGTGCAGGAACCCAAAAGTAGGTACAGCGGGTCAAAGTTGTGTTCATTTACTTAATAATGTGCAATTCGGATGGAATTTACCTCTCGCTTTCTACTTAAAAGTAAGTGAGTTGTACCCTAAAGTAGGTAAATATGATTATATTCAACGTTGGGTTCCCACACTTTACTACCCCTGTTGGGTGGTTTTTATCCTCCGTTTTCGACAACATTAGAAGAACAAAAAGAGACAAACTAGTCAAAAGTAGGTAAAAGTGAACTGGCCGTTGGGTACTTTTTTCTTATCGTGTAGGCCGATTTAACTCTATCGATCGATACTGTCACTGTTTTCTTCTTAATTTTAATGGTAAATGTCGTAAATGTCCTACTGCTTCTTGAGACGACCTCATTTGGTCCTGTGAAAGGAGGTTCCAATCTCGGTTCCAATGCGGCCCTAACTTTGTCGGTTTTTAGAAACACGTGTGTGCACTCTGCTCAACACCTTTGGAATGAACACTTGTCGTTTCGTATCGTTATTAGAAGCTGAACGTGGCGTCAGCGAGTTCATTTTTTCTAATCGTTTAGCAACAGCAGTTACAGATGAGCTTCGAAAGGGGCGCTTTTCAATTATCGCTCCTGGCATACGGATGGTCGTGCCATGGAGCATTTCCGACGCGTATCGCATTTATCAGAACGAGCAGGACTAATGGTAGGGCGTCAGTACAGCTTGATTTATATGATTCTAGTGCTGTTTTGAGTGTTCTGTGCCAGAGCTCAACCATCCCGTTGGCTTGTGGATGGTATGGCGTGGTGTGGTGAACTCGTTCTAATCCCAATAAGGCAATAAACAATAAAATTAATTAGAAGAAAATCGAGCAACCAATGGTACTAAATTTAACAGAAAAATAACCTATATATAGTAATTGTCTAACAGATACCGATTATCAAATATGGACCAACAGGTCTCTGCCATAAAAAGGGAGAAACCGTTTGCATTCTTGGAAGGCAGCATCAGCTTCGGAAGTACATACGATAGGTGTCTTATCGTTCTTTTTGTTTGACGGTATTAGATTAGCTTGCGCAAAGAAAGGTAATTGAGCTTCAGCGGTATGTGGAAGAAATCGCCGGTAATTCAGTAATGCTAGGAAGCGCCGTAGCTTTTGCACCGTATTCGGCTTAGGGTATTCTGCAACTGCAGAAAGCTTTTCCGGAGCTGTTGTACAACCAGCGGCCATGATTAGTTGTTCCATGAAACGTATTTTTTCTTTTCCTAACTGATATTTGGGCCTTATTACGGGTGTCACTACACGGTGATAAGCAAGTGATATTCAGAATAAGAGCCGTGATTACCGTACAAATCAAATGGGAATCACTTCACCGTGACGACAAGTGACAAGTTTTCACCGTGAAGTGACATCCGTAATAAACCCCTTTGTCAGCATTGATCTGAAGCCCATTTTCTCTCAGATATTATATTCTTGTAATCGCCTACGAGTCTGTACTTAGCCAGCGCCGGTGACGTGACTGCTTTCTCACCCCAATGGGTCTGGGTTCAATCCCAGCCGAGGTCGGTGGGAAAAATCTCTGGTCACGTCTTCCTTCGGAAGGGAAGTAAAGCCGTTGGTCCCGGCCCATGTTGTGTTGAATGGATACGATATCCTACGCAGGTGTGGACGCTGCCTTCCTGCACATTCGATTGCCGTCAATGGATGGCAATCGATGTCCGTCGGTGGTTGGCACTAGATTGCGGAACAGAGACCGACGTTAAATAAATAAATGAAGACGAAGAAGAGTCTGTAGTTGATGTCTTAGTAGCCAGGTGTTTTATGTATCCTAGCTCTAAGGCGAGGCGAGTTCTAGTGATGTCAGAGTATGAGCTTAATAAGCCGCCATAGTTGTTGCTGCCAGAAAAAAGCTTTCAAGCCAAATAGCCCTTCTGCGAATAAATTGATTTGACCGCGTGCTCTTATATTTGTCATTTTATCTATTAGGCACTCACGCCGCAAGTCCACCCTCTGGTGTTTCAGAAAATCTACACCTAGTATTGGGGACGTCCAGTATGAACCGCCATGGGAAATTCCTGCAGACCTGCAAATTTTGGGATTGACCTCGTTGTCGATTGTAACTGCAGTGTTACATTGATCGTTCCGTTCTACATGATGCTAGAATCCTTTTCACAGACATCAAAATAGAGTACCTAAACCTAACACCGAATGGTTTAAGTATGAATACCAATCACCAAAGGGAATGTTCGTAAACTACGTAGACATTCAAAGTGTTTTTATGTTACTTCATACGTGAAGTTAGCGATTTTCAGAGTTGGTTGGAAATGCTAACATGAAGCTTTAGTGTGATGATTTATTAGCTAGAGAATGATCTTTAGAAGAGGGTAGGTGGATAGTTCCGTTAGAGTACGGCAGTATGAAAATTGAATAGAAGTTGAAAATGAGCGAAGGGCCATTAATGCGACAGTTTTTTGAAGATAGACGCACATCTTTTGCCTAACCCGTACGATGTACGCGGAGTAGACAGTTTTTGAGATGTTTTAGACTCCCCTTCCCCCTGCGTAGACAATAGTCTATTTATTTGTCGTCAATTGTCTTCCTACCCGTCAAAATTGTACATTGGTAATTTTTTAAATTTTGATTTTCACAAATAAACGATAGTAAGTATGATAGTAGCTTCTATAGGTTAACTCGTTTCGATTTGTTTGCATCAGGGTTCCTTCCATTCATTTCGGCAAAAAAAAATGTTTTATTAAATTATTGAATAATAATATATTATGATAATATTTTGTTTGCGTACGCAACAAGAAAATATTGTAAAGTTTGTGTTTGACACATTTTTTTTTTGTTTATTAATTTATTTGATAAGGCTCAACCGAATTAACTTAACAGAGCCGAGGATTCTTGGTCACTATACAATACATCTTAAAGCTATAGTCAAAAGGTACAACACAATAAACACTTTATCTTCCGCTATCCAAAAAGCCTCCTCCATCAGAACTGGAGCCGCTTCCAGTAGTTTCATTGTATGGCAAATTGTTGTACGCCAACGAGGGTCAGAGCGCGTCAGAGACCGAAAGAACTGCTGATGAAGAACAATGAGGAGGACCACACAATGGTTGCTGCCAAGTAAACAGACGATCGCGTAGCACACATCGAGAGTGGCCTGCTTTTGTCGACAGCCGAGTGAACACTCGTGTTTGACACATAATACCAGTCAATTTTGCTACATGAGAGTCGCAATAAGCGATTTTGTCATTTATCTCACCCACTCTTCGCGAAAAGGCGATCAGAAAACCACTCATTGTGACTCTGTCAAAGCTAAATTTGCAAGTTTTATGCGTCCAACACAAACTTTACAATATTTTCTTGTTGCTTACGCAAACAAAATATTATCATAATATCTTATTATTCAATAATTTAATAAAACATTTTTTTTTTTGCCGAAATGAATGGAAGGAACCCTGGTTTGCATTTGTTACTTAGGTTGATGTAATTTTTATTTTAATTGTGAAGTTGTTGCTTATAATACGGTCTTTATGTTGATGAAAGGTGTAAATAGGGTGGTCCTAAAAATGACAAAACTGATAATTTAACTTTAACTATTTTGTTTGTATTACTTATGCGTGAAGTTAACGATTTTACATAGTTGAAGATGCTAATTTCAAATAACAAACTTAAAGTGGTCATTTTATACGATAGAGGAGGAGATGAAAGTATAGAGTTGATAGTTTCGTTAGAGAACGGCAGTGTGAAAATTGTATATAGATAGTAGAAAGCGAGCAAGGACAACTTTGAGGAAGGTACGAATCGGGTTGATCATCTCTCTTTACCAAACTCCTCAGTTGGAGAGGGATGGTGAGGGATATCCCCCAGTGGGAGTTTCCCATGCACCCGGGTAATACTTCAATGAAAACAACAATGAAACAGCTTGTCACGCAAGTAGAAGGAGCACTGTTCGACACTTTTTGAAATATTTCAATAGTATAATTCCCTTGCAAACACAAAAAATGTAAAATAAAATAAATAAGAGTGATTTGCGGAAAAACCCGCCAGTATCGCACCCAACGTCAGTGCCTATACGCAAGCGTACTACGGTACTACGACGCGGCTCTCAAATAAAGGAGTAACAAGTGTGATACAGAGTAGGTTTTCCCAATTATGAGAAAATTTCGTAAGAAAAGAAAATACTCTAAGTCAATTGAATTCAGTCGCTGAGTCGTTCTAATTGGCCGTGTAAGTAAACCCCACAGTGCAAAACATTTAAATCTTTTTTTTTTTTTTTTTTGTTAATTAATTTATTTGTACAGGCTCAATCGAATAAACTTTACAGAGCCAAGTTATCATTTTGTTTATACATTATAAATGTCTTAAATCTAAAATTAAAGGATTGGAACCGATTGCTCGCGGTCTTCTCGAGGAACATTTAAATCTATCAACCTCATAAATTGAGAAAATAATAGAAATATTGTATTATGAGTCTATCGAGTAGTCCTTGAAGATTTTAACGCCGAAGTGAAAAGCAAATTTAAATACAATGCTTAAATAATTTACTACAAGCATTTTAAAAATTCTCTCCCATACCTCACCGTGAAGGAATTTTGAAATTATCACCATGTTTAAAAATTTGCTCTTTCTCAACTACACAGCAAAAAAAAATGTAATATCGATCAACGTAATTCAAGCTGATGTATGAAATAATGATGTAATAGCAAAAAGCAGATACAATATTACATCAATGGATGTAATTTTGTTCGCAAAATCGATGTACATCGTACAATGTGATATTACACAACCGATGGATTGACCTGGTTGCATCAGTTTCGATGTAATATTCAACAACTTTTTTTGCTGTGTAGCACCAACTTTTAATCACCTCAATATACTTCGAGTAACCCCTCGTTCGAATCTGGCCAGACGGCGAAAACAGAAGAGGCGAGCGGCTAAAGCGAATAAGCATTTTGTTGTTTACCTCGCGCTGTAGCCAGGCATCAAAATTACCATCAATCGCGATCGTGCTATCAGTGAAAATCAGTTTATTCATGATAGTAGGTATCCCGCTAATTAATTACTCCGAACGTGCAGCTCAAAAACATGTCCGGTGAAGAACCGCAGGAAGATCTCCGTTGCCGGTTTTGCCTGGCCATGGAAGTGGACGAGCTGATTCCGGTGTTTTGCATTGCTTCCACGCAGAAGATACTGATTTCTCATATGGCTCTGGCCTGTACGGGACTTGTGGTAAGTGGAATATTGAAAGTTACTTATCATGGGAAGTTTTTAAACCCATTTGACGCCCATCGGCATTCGATAGATGAATTTTTTACTGGTCGGCGTAGAACAGACATCGGATAAACCATGGGTCCGAATAAATTTAATAATTTTTGACTGGAAGCTAGTTGCCTTTATGATGTCCTGATGTCGGTTCCTGCATTGATACAGTATTTGATTAGGATTCAACTTGAAGGCAGAGCGGCTAACAAAACTGCCAGGTTTTCTTACAGCGGTTTTTGAAGTCGCATTCTACACCGAAAATAGTTTTCATGTAGCTTTCATTGGAAACGCACATAATTTTCATCCATAATCAAAATTAATGACATTATTCATCTGAATTTCACATAACAGTTATGCAATCAAATTAATTTTATATGAATTTCATCGGCCTCATAATATTAATGTGATTTTGTTGTGGGATTTGCCACATAGCTGCATCACAGGAAAAGCTATGTGAAATTCACATGGATTTCATCCATTAGATATGTGATAAATTAAAATGGAAATCCAAAATAACATCGATTTTAGTACACTACAACTATTTTAACTGGTTTAGTGTCAATCAATAAAGTTATTATTTTGCTTTAAATCTTGATTTTAAAATCGACATGAAAGTGTGTGTTTTCGAAAAAAAAAAACAAATATCGTTGTGCTCATAAAACGACGCTCTTCCAGATGATATAAAATAGAAACATTTTTCAAAATTGTAGAAACCCAATTGAGCAGAACATCCTTCGAGTTAGGGCGAGATCCAGTCTTCCGAAAAACACGAGCACATTCGCACCCGATGTAAAAACATAACGTTTTTGTTGAACACGTACACGCTCTTCCTTGTGTTGTTATGTTCATTTCAAATATGCTGTTCAATACACACACATGAACGTTTTGTTGAAGCCACGTGTTCTTTTTCATATGTGCAAACACGGTGTTTGAACACGATGTTTGTTTTCTTCGGATTGCTTTTGTTGGACGGATTACCGTGCCGGACCATTTTCCACGTTGTTCATAATGATTGTGAACTCAAGTGTTTAAAAAGCATCAACATATTATGAGATATTTTCAAAATGATCCGTGTACTTACAGCTCTAATGCACGGGAAGTAATATTTAAAGTGGTAACAATTCAAAAATATTGTTGAAACACAAACAAAAATAATTTGATGCGCAGAAGTAGACACAGTGTGGAATTTGGTGCTTACACGGTAATCTTTCCTCCTCTTGTGTCGTGTTCGAGATAGGCGTACACTCAAAAAATAAATCACATTTCCAATGGAAAATATCTATTAGAATTTCACATAACTTTCATGTGATCTTATAATTGGGAATCGCACTACAAAATCACATTAACCTTATGTGTCCAATGAAATTTATGTGATTTATCACATAGAATTCATGGGATCATATGAATGTTATGTGAATTTCAGATAAAAATCATTAATTTTGTTATTGGAAAAATATCATGTGCGTTCCCAATGTAAACTGTATGAAAACTTTTTTCAGTGTATATATCAATGTTTTCATCTGGAAATCTTCTTCCATGGACCTCTCCGACGTTTATAACACGCATACTTGCGTAGTCCCATGTTCAAGTGCAAAGTTTGTTATCCTCACTTTCGCTACAGCCAAAAATGATGGTTTGTTATTGTTATCCTCACTTTCGGACTATCAATTCTCGTGCGCGTAGAATGGACTATGGTAGAATATTTTCCTGATTAAAACATATCAAGACCAACAATTGAAATGGCCTTAGCTCCATTTTGTAAACAAACCTTGTAAGGCCATTTTCTCGCGAACCGAAACCTTCATTCGCAAACCTAAACCACAATCGGGTAGAGGAGAATTTCCCCTACCTGTTCATTATGTTGGTTTGCCTTTGCGGACTTCGGTTCGCGAGAAAATCAGGCATAACATTTGATAACGGCACAAAAGCATTTGTAAACAAACTTTCTAAGGCCCTTTTACACGCGAACCAAGGTACGCCCATGCAAACCAATACCACTTTCGGAAAGGTGATAGTTGCCCCTATCCGATGATGTTGTTGGTTTGCGTGGGCGTACTTTGGTTCGCGTGTAAAGGGCCTTAGAAAGTTTGTTTACAAATGCTTTTGTGTCGTTATCAAATGTTATGCCTGAAATGGCCTTACAAGGTTTGTTTACAAAATGGAGTTAATGCCATTTCAATTGTTGGTCTTGATATGACTGACACAATCGCACTAAGTCTTTAACTTTATCTATTATTTTCGCGTAACATTTGAAAAGGGCCTATCCGCGTTGATCGATTCTCTTCATCGATCTTTTTGGTTTACTACGGCAACATAAACGAATTTCTCGCTAAGCTCGCAGCATAGTTCGACAGATGATAATGTTAGCTTGCGCGTGAAACGTTACACTCAATTGGAAATTCATTTGCAGTCGGGTTATTCGCAAAAGAGAAAATCGATGAAGAGAATCGATCAACATGGGCCCTTTTCTCGTGTTGCGCGAGATTTGTTATTTACAGGCACTGGGAGTATGATGAAAAATACTGTAAATTGGAAAGTAGGAAAAGATCGCTCATTCGCATTGACATTGCACTTGATCATCGTTTAATTCACTACTTTTTCTTTAGTGAATGTTGGTAAAAATATCCACATGTTCTCTATATATTTTGTACCAACGTAATAAATGTATTCAGCCAAACACATATTTGTGAACTCAAAAGCGCAAGGCATGCTTTTTCACCAAGAAATCAAAATTAAGGCTTGGAAATCAATCATAATTTTGTCAAAAAAACCCTTAGCAACACGCTGAACTTTTGTTGTTTGAGACGTTGAAAACACAATGTTCAAACATCATGTACAAACATTGGACGCGCCCATGTGTGATACATGTTCGAACACAAGGTTCAAAAGATTCTGTGTGAGTGCAAACATGAAAAGCAGCAACACAGCGAAAACACGTTCATCTCGAACACTACGTTGTATGTTCAATACCGAAGACTGGCGAGATCTATGATACGCTATGAGCAATAATCTGGAATCTGGTCATTTTAACACCGGTGGTTTTGCATTCTTAGGAAAAAATACACCGTATAACGTCGGACAAAAACTGTAAAAACTTCAATAGCAAAAATACAAATTTTTAATATTTTAAAACTTATCTATATATATAAATTAATTTCTGCCTGTCTATCTGACCCTTATAGACTCGGAACCCGATCGGCGTTAAAATGTGTATACAGAGGTTTTTGGGGTAGAGAAAGGTTCTTATGATGGTAACTCGAGAACTAATCAGCCAAATTTGGCATGTGGAGGTCATAGGGGGTAGCTTCTTAGATAAGAGAGGGAGGGGGGGGGGGGGGCTACGTACAATATAGCATGTTTTGTTTGTTTTTTTTTTTAATTGGCGCATAAACTCAAGCTAATCCCGAGCAAGGCCGGGCACACTCAGCTAGTGTTCATATAAAAGCTTATCAAAAATCAACTTCTCTGATATTGGACAAAATTCTGAATTCAAGCCCAAACGACATAGCGAACAATTATACAAAATTTTATGGGATCCGGAGAGGGTGAAGTTTAATCGATACGTCAGTCGGCCTGGATTTGAGGAGACCAGCTTCGAAAATACCTTTAACTATTATTGTCAAAGGGAAATGAAGTTCTTAAGCGCTCTTTTTTTTTGCATGAGAATACATCACAAATCACATGTTTCAAGGCAGCGATTGACCAAAATTGAGCACTCTAGGACTTTGTTCATCAACCTGACCGTAATAGGTAAAGGAGGGTAAAGGTATCGCCGAAGCAGTCATTTTCCTTGTTAGTATTAAACAATAGAACTAATCGAAAAAAAAGATTATCTTTTTTAATTATCGCCGCTTAAAAAACTGACACAAATGCGTAAATTTGATTCACTTAGATTTGTACATATAATCAACAACATGTAATTTTCATTCAGATTTCGTGTCGCGACAAACTGCCTCAGTACACATGTGACGCATGCCTGGGCAATCTGGATATTGCCTATGATTGCTGGAAACGTTGCCGCCAGTCATGGGGTAACTACAAAAAAAATCCGACACTCGACACCGAGGACGAAGACTATCGCTGCCGGATTTGTCTCAAGAATGAGGTGGAAGAGCTCATTTCTCTCTTCTGTATCTGCGATAGCCAGTTGATGAAGATAAGCGATATCATTCAACGATTTTCTGGACTAAATGTGTCCGACAATGATAAATTCCCGCAGTACATTTGCGACGTTTGCCTTGGAGAACTGAACACTGGGTTTGACTTTCGAAAATTAACACGAAAATCTAATGCGACTTTGCGCAGCCATTCGATTGAAACCCGTATCGTTGAAGAATCCCGAAATCAAACTAACGATAGTTCTAAAACACTCAATAATACCTCGCTATTAAATGAGTTCTTGATTTTTAATGATCCACCTGAACAAACTTCGCCAAAAGCTAAAACCCCGATAAAATCTTCAACAGAAAAGAAAGCAAAGGAAGTTAGAAACCAGATATCAGCAATAACAAGTAGCACCAAACCAGCTGAATCCGCTAGTCCAAAAAGCAACATACAAAACAAATCACAAGTGATCACTCAGAATCCAAAAACTGTCCCAAAGGTTCCTGCGTCAAAGGAGAGAAAAATATATTCGCCATCCCCAACATTGAATCCTGGCAAGACGATAGGCCAAACAGTATTCAAAAAGCTTCCTCAAGATCCACTCGCCATCGATGATAAGTACGAAGCTCCAAAATCAACAACTTCAAACTTACAATCTACTACAAGTATTTCGAAGAAAGTCACGCAAACAGATGGTTCATCTTCTTTGAAACCCGTTGCTGCTGTTCTATTTGCATCCGATGGACAACCAAATCTTAAGAAAGCTTCCTTCTCAAATCCCGCGGAATTTAAAATGCTTGCCTCCCGGATCTTGAAGAAACCTGTCGATAAACCCTCCCCAGCGCCAGTGGTGCCGGAAGCCTGTGCTACTCTAGCTGCGAGCGATCATAAAATTCTTTACAAAAAGGCACGCTTCACTTGGTCGCAGATCACAGCTTTCCTATGCAACAACTGTGACAACGTTTGCAGAGCTGCGGCCATACAAAAGACATGTATCAAATGTAAACTACGGTTTGATAACTACCTGTCCATTAAATTGGAGCACAAAGCAGCTCAACAAGGATATGTGGAAGCTTACTGCTGTAGAGATTGTACCTTTTTCTCGGTAACTCTCGAATCACTGCTAGCGCATCTGATGAGTCATAGCAAACAATTTAGCTACCGTGGCATAGTACTAGGTTCTGCCAAAATAACAACTACCAAACAGTCTAACAAAGAGGCAGTACCACCTACTCAATCGATTGAACCAGTATCTAACAAGCGACGTGTCGAAGAAGCGCCAGTCCAATCGAGCCAACCAGTAGCCAAAAAACAACGTCCCTTACAGCAGAAACCTGAATTCAATCCTAAAGTTCTCGGAATGAAATTTGCCCATAAATGGATACGGGTAGAACCAGACAGCAATATAATACCTCGTAATCGTGGTGTTCTCTCCGTTGATAGTGACAGTGATAACGACTCAACATCTGAAGTGCGAGTAGAGGAAGAACCAGCAGTAAACAGCAAATGTATTACTCAGGCTGTGAAAGGTACGCTCACCGTTGAAATTGACAGTGACAACGACTCGGAACCCGAAGGTCCAGAAGAATTGAAAGAAGAAGAAGTACTCGACACAGACATGAAATTGCAACACAATCCTTTGGACATCATCGACACAATGGGTGCCATAATAACAGAACGACCAACAGATTCACATCCAAACGATGCCACAATAACAACTAATGATGTGACGACATACAGAATTCAGAATGAATTTGTGGAAGTATCCTCCAATGAAGAATTCATAGGGTTTGAAGAGGAGCAGTTAGAAGCCCCTAGGCTAGTGCCATTAGCTGGAAGGTACATTGTGTAGAATTGAATCTTATTTAATAGAAATGAAAAATTGTCTGTCTCATTTTTTCAGAACTCCCGACACCGATTTTTTCGATACCTTGAAAAACACCGACGAATACTTAATGGTATTCCTCAAAGGATTTCTCTGCTGTGGTTGTTTGAAACCGTTCAAATCACTGGAACAGCTCAAAAGACATCGTACACGGACTCATTCGAAAGCACAACCCAATGTGAACAATCCTAGTTGTGAAATCTGCACGACAGCTGAGGATCACCGCATGTTAAGCTCAAAGCGGATTTTCTACTACTGCAAATTCTGCGAAAGTCTATTAGTAGAAGAAGACTTCCACAGCCACCGAGAATCAAATCACACCACGGAAAAACAACTGCTGTCATCCATCCCGGTACCAGAAGTGTATGACGTCATCCTTTCGAAACTATGTCCAAAATTAGCTTTGAGGTGAACTTGAAAATATGTCTCCATTATAATTACATTGAAATATCGCTCTTTTTTTGCAGGAAAAAGGAAAATGTCACTCATTCGCCCAATCCCTTCAAATCGATTGAAAGTGAAACTATATTTAAAACATTGAAAGAAACTAAAGAATACAAGCTGCTCTTCATGAAAGGCGAACTATGCTGTGGATGTCAAGAGTGGTACAGCTCCAAAGAAGCACTGCAAGCCCATTGCGACAAATTCCATACCGAAGAGATCAGACCGGGAAACACAGCACAGTGTGAACTATGTCATGCTGATTGCAGAACTGATAGTCGACTGATTCGTCATCGATTGCAGCGAGTACGGAAATTGTACTACTTCTGTAAAATATGCCATGAATTTCTGGTGCATGATGCATACAACTATGAAACTCATCAAGCGGTTGCACATTGGCAACAGCTTAAAGTTCATGCGTTTGATACGTCTGAGAACGTCGGAATGTTGATATCGAAAGTTATGTAATTATGATTATTTTCTCTAAGTTGAACGGATCCATACAGATGAAAATCTAATTTTGAAAAGTACTTCAAATAACTGCTTCCAATGAATGTATTCAATGAACTTTAGTGGTGAAGAAAAACTCCAACTGGGGTGGCTAATAAATGGAATATAAGTATTAACATGGACAATTTTCAATCCGATTTGTTTGTTAGTTCGAACGTTTTCTATAAACTCCATTTACCGAACACAACACGTCAAGTCTGGCAAATTTCCCGTTTTCTGATACGACCGCTATGCGACGAGCACAATCGAATTATCTACTACTACTATTAAGATTCTAACCTCAAAAACATTAAGAAGAGTGAGAAGCTGGATTGTCCAGTGCCGTCCCGGGTCTCAACAAGGCAACACCAAAAAAAATCGGTTCCAGCGGCATCCTTCTTGTCTGATTACAGCGGTTTATATTACTGAGCCGCCCTCGAACCGCGTACAAATTTCTGCCGCCCGAATCCAAAACAGCATCGTGCGACCCTTCTGCGAATGTTTTTCTCCTCTCATGAAAATAAACAAATTTCTGACAGGTTTACTGATAAGTTAAGTTTTGGTTGCTGAAGCTGAACAGCTAGTGTTTTGTATAAAAAGTAGAACTTTGTGCTGTGCCATTTAATTCAGAGTTAATTTTCCACAATGGCAATATTCTGTCGAATATGTCGAATGCAGATATTCTCACAACCCATCCTACTGACTAACAATTCAGTAAGACATGCCAAGCCGATCAACGAAATGATTTTCGAATGCACGCAAATATTGGTAATATTTTCCTAACATTAAACTTTAAGAAAATAATGAGATTTTCTGTTTTAGCTAACCAAAGATATCCGACTGCCGCAGTTCTTATGCGAGTCTTGCTTGATGCGACTGGATGAGGCATTCTCGTTCCTTAAGCTGTGTCGGGAATCGGAGCGAATGTTGACCCAAACACTACCCATAACAGTTAGACCCCAAAAGACTGCAGAGGTGATTGATATTACGCAGATTCAATCCATCGAACCGCCAAGAACAAACGACAAATCACATAATGACTCCATGCCCGTTAAGTTAGAACTGGAACCCGAAGAGCTGACCGTGGCCGTAGACTATGCAACAAGTTCCACCTTTTCCGCATATAACGTCCTCATCGGTGGGGGGCACAATGTGAATCCAAAGGGCGAAAAAGACTGGTTGTCGGAGGCCCGCAAGCACCGGGAACGGCAGCGTATTTCGACGGCAAAGCGACGCGCCAAAATGACATGCGACCAGCGGGAAAAGGAACGCGAAAGGGCACGGATACGACAGGCTCAGCGGAGGGCGTGTCGCAGCGAGGACGAAATACGAGCACAACGGGAACGGGATCGAATACGGCAGGCGATGAAACGAGCCAGATTTCGTCATATTGAAATGATGCAAACAACAACACCGCCACAACATCAACAACAGCACCAGCAGCAGCAGCAACATGAACAGCATCACACCTTTCCACTTGGGACGGCAATAAATCAGCTGATGGGCTAAACAAAGAGGTTTGATTTGTTATTTTTGGTGAGACTACCTACGTAGAATGACGTCTTTGTGGGCTCTATTCTGTGCAACTCTAAAATTTGCTAACTGTAAATTTAATGACCCTTATAACGAAGCAATTCATGAATGGAGTTGAATTCTTATTAACCATTTGATTCAAATTTGTTTGAGGCCACATAATAAAGTATTCCTATATAGCAAGATCAGAAAGGTCTCGCTCTCCCTTAACTCCGTCGGTAAAGGCGCAACTATAAAGCAGCAAGACCATGATGGAGACGGCTGGGTCCGATTTCCGATCCGGTTCAAGAATATTTCGAGTTGGAAATTTGTTTCGACTTCCCTGGGCATAGAGCTATGATTGCACTTGCCCACACAATAATACTAATGCAAAAGTGGTACCGGCTTAGAAAACTCTCAATTAGCAACTGTGGAAGTACTCAGCAGGCGTTAAGTCCCAGTGGGGACGTAATAAAGCCAAAGAAGCAGGTCTAGCTCTGGAGACATACAGAAGATGATATTGAAGTCCAAATACCCTGGAAAGAAAATTCAGTCAACATTCAGATCAAATCCAAAAACTACAAGGGCAAGCCCTATGGGGTTGTACGCAATGATGACGTAGGACTATGTGGTCATATATAATAAATCTTATTTGTTAACTGCGGCAGGAGCTTGTGTTTTTTGTAGGAATAGGAATTATAGCGGGGTTCTCTCTGTTTATACTCTTTAGTATGCTGCTGATGCCAACGACCGGACACCACCACACACGGTGTTTGGAACTGAATCCGATCAGCGGTTGAGGTCGCCTTGATAGCTAGCTGGTTGTGGGGAGCCTTTCGTTGCGTATTGGAGAACACCACCACTCCTACGCGGTGATTGAATAAAAATCGTTTGGTGAGACCGGATGGAATTCAACTTTGAAATCTGTGATAGGGAAATCGCTTTTCGCAGGCAATCGGTGATAATTTTAATTATCATAGCTACAGTTACACAATCGTGCAATTTTCAATAGTGACATTTTGAAAAATGATAAAGTCTTAAATTTAACATATTCGTCGACATATTGGTGATAGAATTATTGAAATTGGTCCAGGGGCAGCTGAGTTATTAACGTTCAAAATCTTTCATAATTTTGTTACATGTTCCATTTTCGGTTTTCACACAGTGTACTCCCATATAGAAATCATAGACGTAGTCACGTAAAAAAAATACAAATCTAGAAGGCATTTAGAGCAAGGTCGGAGGGTTCCCAAAAAATCTGCCGGAAAATGAGGAAATTGACGAAAATTTTATTCAGTCTCGGAGAAGTACCAATAGACTGAGTGAATCCAATCTTTACTTTTCTCAAATTCGGGAATTTTTCCCTGGAAAATCCTGAAAAAATCTGGGAAAACATGAGGCAGATTTGCTCATCGGTGAGTTCCTGCACTTTTGGCGATTATGAGTGAACTAAACTCAAATTTGGGTCGTTCTCATTCGCCGTGTGCTTAAACACTGGAATATTATCGCATCGCATTGATTCCAAAACATCAAATGGCCAAGCAAATAACGTTTAAGGAACTGATTTCATTTATTTATTGCAGTCAATGTTAAATCGAGCCGTACCCACTTTCATGGCTAAAATCGGAGAACTTCCATAACTTGTTACCACTGCTAAAATCAATGTTTTCAAATTACTGATAATAGTAAAAAATGCATTTATGTTAACACCAACTTTACGTAGTCTTACGTCATGTCTATGACACAAGCCTTTAATATATGCTAAGCAGCTGTGACTATCACTATCGGCAGAAAAACCAGAAACTGTATGAACGGAACAGAGCTCTATAATAACGGTATCGTCATAATGCCACTTACCTCTGAATTCCAAAACTTCTACTCAATCCGCGGTCCCGTGATGCGTGCAGTGTTCCTCGAATTCACTTAACTTGTCGAAACTGGCCGAACAATAAGTGCAAGGATACAGCTTTAAGCCAGTATGTTTCCTTTTGTGCAGCCGTAGATCCCGATCGCGCACGAACGATTCCTTGCAAAGTACACAAACAAAGGGTTTGATCCCTAGATGGACCGATTTCTCGTGTCTGTCTCGATCGCCCTGACCCTTATAACGCTTGTCGCAACCCTGTCGACAGGGGAAGTTTCGCTCATTGGTGTGCGTCCGCTCATGATTATTCAGTATTGCACGGTCTTTGAAACGCGCCCCGCAAGTTGAACACTCCCAGTTTCGCTTGTTTGTATGTCTCTTCAAGTGTTGCTTAATCTTCTTCACTTGTTTCCCACAAATACTGCAAACGTGCAAGTTATTTTCAGCGTCAGCTTTTTGTCTCACAGAATGAATAGCACTTAGGTGGTTTTGCAGGGTATCCTTCGAATTCATCACTTTGTCACATATATAACATTTCAAGATCTCGGTACATTGTGCTACATGTGCAAAGTACATGTCTCGATGGAAGTGCTTCTGGCAACCTCGACAGCGGAGTTTCTTCTTGTCATGTTTGTGACGGTACAAGGAAATTTGCTGGTCGAATCCTTTGCAGCACACTGGGCATGTGAACTGGCTGTCGCTGTGGCAAATTGACATATGCTCGCGTCTATCGACATGTGCCTCCTTGCCATGCTCGATCATCGCGTCGTAATCAAAGCAGCGAAAATCACATCGGGGAACACAGCAGCGGTAATTATCTGGACCCGTGCTCTTGATTCCAATGATGGCACCTGCCGGGTCCTTGTGGGTCCCGTGGATAATGTGCCGTCTCATGTGATCCATATCCTTTGTTTGAAAAACACACCCGAACACCTGGAATGCGGAGAGAGAAATGATTCTATCTACACCACATTCATACCAATTACTGCTGTAACTTACCTTGCAGCTGTGAGTAGTTCTACTTTCATAGATGGTAATGTGCTGCTCTAGCAATTCCATGCTCCCTTTGAACTGATGGCAATAATCGCATTTTGGATACATCATCGATTTAGTAAAAACATTCGAAGGTACTGGTGGGTGATTTTTCTGGCGATGCTCTAAAAGTTCATCTTCCGTTTGGAACACTTTCCAGCAGCCGCAACATGTGAAGGAATGATCTTCCACGGTTTCGATTTTATCGCTCAAATCATCATCGTAGAGATGATTCGCAACTTTGTGGTAAGCATAGTCGAGTTTTCGCCACAGAAACGTTTTACAGGTCCGGCAATAATAATGGGTGGGTATTTCCTGGAATCTGCTATGTTGACTAAGACCCACTTTTGTAAAACCCCGCCTACATATTTGACATTGAAAGGGTTGACCGTCTGAAAGGAAAAACGTTTCTTTAACCCATAACGAACTACTATTGATATTCAGCTATGCACCTTCAACCCTATGTAGTTCGCTATGTGCTGCCAATGCCTCTTTGGTTTCGAAACAGAGGAAGCAACTACAGCAAACTAGACATTTGCGCAGTAAAATATCCGTATTACTGTCTAATTCACCAATTACGGTAAAATGCTTCATGTCCGGTACAAGGACTTTCGTTTCCGAGTAAGCTTTTACGTGAGGTTTTTGACTACAGTGCTGCCACATGGTACTCTTGTTCATACGCATGTAGCTACAACTGTCGATTCGGCATACATATCTTTCCTTCTCGCTCCTCCAGTGATTCAACAGATTTGATTTACTTATAAATACACCCTTGCAGTATTGGCACGTATTTTCTTGCATCTGCTCCGCTTCCTGCCTGTGTGCCACATTAAGGTGCTTCTGCAGGTGTTCTTCCGATGAATAGCGGTTGTAGCAACGGAGCACACAGCAGTCGTAATAAACGACAATCTCCGTTTCAAAATTTGATTCCGCATCCTTGATTGCTTCTAAATCCATGTGATACATCAACTTATGCTGTCGAAACAATCTCGGCGATTCGAAAACTATCTGACAAGATCTACAAAAGTCGTACACGAAAGTATCCAGACTCTTTCTATGCTGATTCAATGCTTGTTGATTGGCATGAAGTGTTAGACAAACATCACAAGATAATTTTCCACTACCAGTTGAAGCTGCGTGACTTTGAGTTTGGTGATCGGCCAAGTCAGATTTGGTAGCAAAAAACTTGAAACATTTACAGCAACATGGTCCTTTTCGCCGGAGTGTTGGAAACGGATCATCAGGATATTCCTCGATTATGTCAAATACCTTTTCAGGCTCTTCAACATATCCCAAATGTTCGGAATTTTGTGTTGCTACCTTTTGGGAAACAAACCATTAGAAATAAATACTCCACTGCTTTTTATAATTTAGCATTTACCTTTGGGCAATTCACTTCGAAGTGCTCATCGTCGTTTTCTTTTTCTGCGAGGTCATACAGTTCTCGAGCACTTTCCTGTAAAGTTAAAGAAGTATGTTGGTTGCTTCAAAGAAACCATCCCATCAACATCAAGCTACCTCTTCTCCGGCACATTCCATCTCCAAAGGAAAATGAGCATCTTCATAGGGGGAATCAGTATCAAAGGGCTCTTCATCATCCTGTTCTGAATTTTCCTGTAAATATTTAAAAATAAACGCACGATATCGAATCCTTCAAATATGCTATTCTATCAGCTTTAAGTTACCTCTTCTCCGACACAGTCCCTCTCCAATGCACTACTTTCTTCAGCAGGTGAAGGACCTGTGTTCGCTTGCATCGTATCACATTTTCGAAACTCCAACTTACAACCTTCGCATTTTTTACCAAGCTGGTCCAAGTCAATGGTCAGCAGGCAAATCGAGCATTGCGCTTTTCCTGCGCCACATTGCACCACCTCTGCGTATACATCGATTATCAAGTGCTCCGGATTGCTACCGTCTACCTCCATCCTTTCCCATGGGTAAGATGCTTTTTGCAACCATTTCAACTCCGATTTGAGGCAGTTTCGCTTGAATTCGTACGCCAAATCCAACTTGATTGAACAGCTACTACATGCGTACTTTGGCGAGCGATCATTGATCAGCTCGCCAATCAAATACTCAATCATGTCGCTTATCTTCATCTTCCGCCTCTCATAAACGCGATCGATGGCAATCAGCATCTTTTCGTCGTTCGATGCGCAACATATGAGACACCTGCTTATAGTTCCTCCCACCGGATTCAGTAACATCATTCGCAAAGCACGACGGCATACCATCCGCAAGGAGTACGTTTGATCCAACTGTCCGAAGCACGCGTTGCACACGTGTTGAGGTAAACTGTCGGGTTCTTCCATCTGGATGAAACAGCAAGTACATATTCAATTTAAATACACTAGTAGACGGTCGGTAACTGCAAGACTTTCAACTGAAAGTCCGCTAACTGACACGTGAAATGCCGTTCGCTAGGTGAAACGGTAACATGTTGCAGTAGCGAACGTCTGGTGTACATAATAAATACCTTCACCAGGACCACCCTAAATATAGCTTACCTTCGAACCGCTAACATCAGTCAGCATGTCGGATATTAGCTTCTGCTGTTCGCTGACCGTACGAGAGATGGAAATCAATCTGTCCACCTCCGTTCGATGGCATATGCGACAGCCTAAGGACATGATGGTCCTGACTTTGATTTATCTCATTCAGCCAGTTATAATTTACGATTAAAACCCACTTTAAAAAATAATGAGCGATGCAAGTAGCAACTACCGAATAAGCGTTTTACTTGTTTGTTTGACTGACAGTGCACTGTTCAAGAATAATTCGTTTGCCTCCAGTGCATGTTTACGTTTGGAAAGCGGGCAAATTGCAGTGCGGCCAGAGATGCCAGATTTGATTCCACTCAAAGAAACCTTATGCTGTCAGTTTTGATCTTACAACTAGGGTAAATGCTCCTATAGTTACGTTAGAATAGCGTCTCCATAAGCAACTATAGGAGTGTTTACCCTACTTACAGCATGGCTTAATTTTAGTATAGTATGCCATGCTATTTAGTATAGTATGCCATCCCTAATAGAGCCTGGTACGCAGGATGCAAATACTCATTAGCTTTGATCTCACTACTACTGACAGCATCAAGGAGAGCATCCAAAAAGCTAACCGCACGGATAGAAATCTCTTTATACCTTTTGGCAAATTTATATTGTTGATTATTCATAAAATGTATAAGTCAACTAATAAGCAGACGCCTTTCAAAAAGTGACACGGCGAATGAGAACAACCCAAATTTGAGTTTAGTTCACTCATAATCACCAAAAGTGCAGGAACTCAGCGATGAGTAAAATTTGACTCATGGTTTCCTGTGGAAAACCTAAAAAATCTGCCGGAAAATGAGGAAATTGACGAAAATTTTATTCAGTCTCGGAGAAGTACCAATAGACTGAGTGAATGCAATCTTTACTTTTCTCAAATTCGGGAATTTTTCCCTGGAAAATCCTGGGAAAACATGAGGCAAATTTACTCATCGCTGAGTTCCTGCACATTTGGCGATTATGAGTGAACTAAACTCAAATTTGGGTCGTTCTCATTCGCCGTGTAATGATCATCATGTATCAATTGAAATTTATAAGCGGTCACACACGAGGTCACACGCAATATATTAGGTTTTGCACCGTCGGGGTTAACCTCAATCTGATGACAGTTCAGTGGTACCAACAATCAATACGAAACTAACGATTTTAAATTGGCTCACCACTTTAGTAGCCTATTGGTCCCAAGCAAACGATTAACGTACCCTATTCTAGTTGAAATTCTATTACTACACTATGTTTGTTTTGATTCGCTATGAAAGTTTGACAGATAACATCAGGGGTGTGTGGATTCATGCAGAACATGCAGGGGTGAGTGAAATAGCTTGGGACTGCTTGGGACCGTTGTTCTGGTACTGAGTGAGCCAAAAATAATAATGATTTTCTTCGGGACCGTGGTCTTAGAGTTACCTCTATGGTGGTACTGTTTACGTGGACTTAGTCGATTTTTTCTTGAGTGGATTTTCTCTATAATTTTTCAGACTGCAGTGAGATGTTAACCACATTTCTGCAATATTCACGAGCAACATCCTTGCAACGCACTGTTCCTCGATAATTTTCAAGTTAAAATTCGGAAATTTTAGAATTTTTTTTTTTTTTAAACGGTTAAGTGCTTGTAAACAGCACCACTGAACTGTCAAAAAGGTTCAGCCGATTAACACTGAGTTCATTCGTGACGTCACGCTGCAGTACCTAATAGACCTGTGCACTAAAAGACTGAATTTATAAAGAGACGACATCTTATCGATTTGACAGGTCTTCTGCTCGATTGGATTGACTTTTGTTATGACTTTGACAGACAATCGATTGTTCCAATTTTGACATATCGCCTCTTTATAAATTTAGGCTCTTTACTGTGCACGGGTGAACTTTAGTTCATCTACTGAATTTATTTTGACACAACACCCAACACTAAAAATGAACACATGAATAATTCTCGCGTAGCATTTGAAAAGGGCCTATCAACTTTTGTAAATAATTTGCTAGGTTCTTTTCACGAGTGCCGAAGTACGCCCACGCAAACCAAGAGCACTATCGGGAAGGGAAGAATTTCCTCTGCCCGATGGTGTGTTAGTTTGCGTGAGCGTATTCGGTTCACGCGAAAAAGGCTTAACAACACTGAGGTAAAAAATCTAGCGAGATTCATCGTTTTGCATTATGTTTATTTGCCACAAGAAATCGGTAAGCATTTCATTAGTTTGCCTTATGAATTTAACTGAATTTCATCAAACAGATTTCATACCTTTTTCATAAGGCAGCATAATGAAAATTTACAATCAGCTTTATAGAATTCGATCCATCGCAAATATGGAACCCGTTATTTATTATAATAAAATGCATTATTCCCCATTTAGCTTTTCATTGAAAGTAATTTATAAATTTTATTCTGGCCGTTTCTATAAATTCTTGATATATTTTAAAACACAGATTGAATTAATTGTATAAAAAAGTAAAGGGTTGTGTCCTAGACACGACCGCAGTATGACGTAGAACCACACAAAATTGATGTTTTTCATGAATTTTTGACTTTTATACTTTATCTTAAAATTTTCAAGTATTTCAATGTTTCGGTTATGGTTGACTCAAAACAATTTACACATTTTTCTTGACAAATATCCATGTGAAATTTCGCATGATTTCCATTTGACCACACATAAACAGAATCCACTCAGAAGTACACATGAAATTTACACGCAAATGAATAGTATGTGTGGTCACGCATGGTTTTTATATGTACATATATTAAGTATGTGGCCGACACATAGATATTGATTTGTTGATCACGTTGCAACAACTCATGTGTGGGACACATAAAAACAATATTTGAAATTTTGTTAGTGTTCAATGTTGGTTCAAGTATTTTTCCTGGAATGTAATAAATTATGAAAGTTCAAATGTATGGTCCTAAACAAGCCGTTACATATTTTGGTGAAGACACTGGTAACTATTTGAATTTCCATTATATGCAATTAAGTTTTAAAATCAACTCTTTTAATTTTATTTGTGGCCCTTAAAAGGGCCGTTTGATGTTGTGGTTCCGAAAGAACCGTTGGGTGATGTTATATTCGTCCCTTCTAGGATGGTATGTTTAAAATTTATTTCCCGGAAAAAAGGGATCGTCAAAGTCTGTCTCGCTTTCAGGTTATTTTTGTTGTGGGGGGGGGGGGGTTAGGAGAGGTATTTGAGGGGGGGTAGGAAGGGTTTGATGGTGGAGAGAAGGGTAGGAGAGGTTTGATGGTGGGGGGGGGGGGGTAGGAGAGGTTGTTAAAAGGGGCGAGAGGTTGTTAAGGGGGGGGGCGAGAGATTGTTGTGAAGGGCGGAGGGGGTTTACATTAATGCTTTTCCTCATTGTGGTCACGCCGTGATCCACCTTAAGCCGCTGATTTGGTCCAGCTTACTGTAGGACCAAGCGCCACGCTGTCCGAAGCGACAATGAGCAAAAGCACTACTACTTAAATGATCTATATTTCTTGAATTTGAGTGGTTTACATATATAACTTATCAAGTGACACAGATTTTTTTTTTTTTTTTTTTTTTTTTAATCTTTATTTTAGAGATTTTTAGCCTGAGGCTAGTAAGTGACACAGATGCGTCTTTTCAACTTTAGTTCCTGTGAAATTTCAATTATTATTAATTACAGTTCCTAGTCCTATCACGCCTGTTTTAGAGAATTACCACCTTGGTGGGATTGGTTTGTTTGAAAATTTGAAAAAGGAGACTACTTATAACTACTATTTACAACTACAACTAACCTACAACTACTATGTACACCTAACCTACTATATACAAATTGCTTATCAAAGCATGTTCTAATAAATTACATTTTTGTGCAAATTTAGTCTTAATTTCGTTAATTTTGGAATCTATTTTGGCAATGCCTGCCTCTTCATGTAAATTTGTTATTCTAGTGTCGAAAGGACGATCAAGAACCATCCTCAGCACTCTATTCTGAGCGACCTGGATTTTGTTCCTGTGAGTCTGTGCACATGATTCCCACACCGGAGCTGCGTAGAGGATCGCAGGTGCTATGATTTGTTTGTAGACGGCCAGTTTGTTCACCCTTGAGAGGCGGGATCTGCGGCAAATCAGCGGAAACAGACACCTAACCAAGGTAGAACACTCGACTACAGTTTTCTCTACATGCGAACGGAAGAGGAGCTTTTCATCGAACAACATCCCGAGATAGGTAACTTCGGTAGACCACTCAACCCTTGTGCCATCCATAATTACAGTACAAGATGGAGCCGGTTTCAGTTTGGGCGATTGCCGATGGAGGAACATGATCGCTTGTGTTTTAGTGGCATTGATTTTGATTTTCCACGTGGTGGCATAATCAGCAAAGGCGTTAAGGCATCGTTGAAGTTTGTTCGTTATTTCGCGAGGCATCCTTCCTTTGACGGCTATTGCGGTATCATCTGCGAACAGGAAACCGTCACCGAGGGGAGGAATGTCGGAAGTGTAAATGCTGTAAAGCAAGGGGCCCAGCAGACTACCTTGCGGGACTCCTGCTGGGATCGAAAACGTGTCTGACAGACAACCATTCAACGATACCTTAAACGACCTTTGCTGGAGGTAGTTACGGGTGATTTTAATAAGATGTAAAGGAAAGTTGAAGTTACAAAGCTTGTACACAAGTCCATCATGCCAAACATTGTCAAACGCCTTTTCAACGTCTAACAAGGCCATGGCTGTGGACTTGGATACAGCTTTGGTACTTCGGATGTTATTCAACACCCATACTAGCTGATGATTGGTGGAGTGCCCCTTTCTGAATCCAAACTGTTCCGGAAGGAGAATGTTGCTTTCCTCGACAAACTTGAGCAAACGATTGAGAATGAGTTTCTAGAACAATTTGCTCAGCGCTGAAAGGAGGCTGATTGGTCTGTAGCTTGAAGACAATGTTGGATCCTTACCGGGTTGCGGATCGGTATGATTTTTGCTACTTTCCAGATGCTTGGAAAGTAGTGCAGTTCCAAACATCTGTTGAAGATAGCGGTTAGAAGAGACTGCACTTTCATGCTGAGTCTCTTCAAGATCAAGTTGAATATACCGTCAAACCCGGGAGCCTTCATGTTCTTGGTGCATTTCAGCGCTGAGCAAATTTGTTGTACTGTAATCATATCCGCCGGAGACACGACACAAGGGGAGGTATCTAGGTTTTGAACGCATT